ATTAAAAAAGTATGCATTTTTTGATTTATTTAAAAAATTCCAAATGTTTACAATCATAGAAAAAATTAAACACTACACACGTAAAAAATCACCAACAAAATTAATTAAACGAGAATAATTTCTATTACAGACAGGAGAAATAGGAAATTAGAAAAAGTCTAAATAAGATACCAAAATAGAAATTCAGTAACATAACTGTGAGACAAATAAATCCAGCGACAATGACGAAGAGGTAGCAATTTCAAAAATCAATAGTGTCGAAAGGACTCACCTAGTTGAAAATCATTAATTTAAAAATTTTTTAAACTAAAATATAAAAAGTTTTTTACAATAATATTAATAATAAAATGTTTTAGTTACAGATCACCAAAAGAAAACAAGGAGGAAACGCGACTTTCACAGAATTTAAACAAACGATGGCCCTTAAAAATTAACACTGACAATTAAAAATAAAAAACATGAAGAATCAATCAACAATTGATAAACAGTATTTTCCAACGGTTCAGTAGCCAGCAAAAGGCCACTACAGTCGGAAAAAGAAAAAGAAGAGGAACAAAGAAAGCAAAAAACATCATAGCCAAATAGGAAAAGGTTGATATTATAAATTTAAATTAAATTACACCTTTTTCAATTTGCTAAAATCTAAAATAAATTCAAAATTGAAATTGCTAATTCAACATGTAAAGCAGAAATATCTATTTTAAATTTGACAAATTTTAATTTATAGTTTAAAGCTTTTTTCCAAATGTTTTTAAAAACTTATTTGTTGCTAAAATTAAGCCATTCAAATTAATGTCAGTTAATTAACAAAAAAAGTTTAGACTTATTCTTTTAACAACAATAAAAATGTGGACATTTAAATTAAATATTATAAATCTCATTTTTTTATCGTACTACTCAACGTGGCTTTTAAACATTCAAGGAATTTTCAAATTCTCCATTCTTAAAAATTACAAATTAATATCTTAAAACAAAATAAAGATTAGCGAAAGTAAATTAATCCTGCAGGTCGAAAATCCAACAAAGGGTAATTATTTTTGCAACCATTCCAGTTTTCTTTTATTATTAAATATTTATTTCCATTTTCTAAAGCAGCAAAATAGTTATTTATAAATGCAATTTCAAATTCGCCTTTTCTAGACAGAAATTATTTTAACACATTTAAAAAATTTAGTTTCCGATTTAAAAAGCGGAGCAGAAATATTTATTTTAAACATTTAAAATCGCAATCTGTAATTAAAATTTTTTTTTTTCAATTATTTTTATAATAAATTTATTACATTCTATAAGAAGTGTTTTCAATTAGAATCTATTAATTCAAAAATAAAAATTAGATGCAATTTTTGTATAAAAAGAAAAACGCAGACATTTCATTGCAATCTTTCAAATCTTATTAATTTCTTATACGACCGAACTTGACTTTTAAAATATTAAGACATTTTTTAATTCGCCATGAGTAAAAAATAAAAAAACATTTATCTTTTTATTATCAAAATAGAGATTCGCGATACTATGTTATTGTTGTAGGTCAAAAATTGAAAGTAAGGTAGTTTAGTCCAATTTTTGCCAATTTAAATCAAATTACAATTATATCAAAATTTTTAATTTTCTCAAAATAAAAGAAATTAATGTCTAGTTATTGACTGTAACACGAAATATTTTTCTTTTTTAAATGGATTAAATTAAAAATTTTAAATGTTGAGCAAAGTAAAAATATTTTTCCGTTTGTTTTTTCAAAAACTTGAATTTTAAAATACTTAACGATTTTAGCATTCCACAAAGACGCTAAATGAAATTTTATTTATTCAGAATTTGCATTTAACTTCAGTTTGATTTTCGATTTAAATTTACTATTTATCATGATTCCGTAGTTTCCTTAATTAGCAAATAAATTCGAATTTTTAAATTAGCTCAAGCTTTTTCAAATAAACAGACAACAGTTTGTATTTCTTTAATGTAATATAAAATATCCTTTTTTTTAGATTTATTAATGTGGAAATTATAATAAGAAGAAGATATTTCTGCTTTATTTTTTAAATTAGAAATTTTTATTTTAAAATGCTTTACGATTTGAGCATTCCAAAATAGCTGTAAATTGAAATGCTTCTTATTAAGCAATTCGATTTGAGTAACTACACGGAGAGAAAAATCTGCCTTTTATAGTATAGAAAGGTTTACATTTAATGCACAGAAATTTTGTATGCTATATAGGCATGAAATTTGAGTAATTATAGTACAATCGTATGTCTTTTTAGCATGAAACTTGTCTATACTAATAAAGTTTGTCATATAGCCTCTTATTACATACTTATTATACTTTTATACCAACGGCGCCATGCGAAGATCGCACATAACATCATCCTACTATTTTTGCATAAGTTCTATGCTTTTTCGGGGATAGACTCTTGCAACTGTCGATTAGGCCACGCCCACCTTTACTTAATTGGAACTGCCCTAATCGCCAGTTGCAAGAGTCTATCCCCGAAAAAGCATAGAACTTATGCAAACATAGTAGGATGATGTTATGTGCGATCTTCGCATGGCGTTGTTGCTATTAAACTACATGTTTTGTACTATAGAAGCATATATACTATGCTTTTTTAGTACGGACAAATACTATACTAAAAATTCTCAAATCTTTGCTCTATTAGTATGAAAAGTTTACAGAAAAATAGCAGCAATCTATTTCATACTATAAAAGGCAGATTTTTCTCTCCGTGTACATTTTGATTTTTAATTGAAAATTACAAATCATCACGATTCAAACATATTTTTAAATTCACAAATATTATTTAAAAATTTTTTAATTCAAGTAAAAAATATTTACAAAAATAATATTATTATAATTAATATTTTTAAAGTTTAGTACTATTGCATCACTAATTAAAAAATTCTAAAATATGAAAGTATTCGTACACTTACAATCTTTTATTAAAAAGCAATATTCATGTGATAAAAATTATTTAAAATTTGTTAATTAATATTTATAAGACCTTATTTTGCATTAATAATTAATTTTTAAGCAATTAGGCATATTTTTTAATTAATTTTAACACATAATTTGTTGCCTACATTATTCAAAACTTGTTTAAAGTTTTTTAACACTATTTTGTTTTGTATGTCCTATTTTTTCAGTTTTTATTAACTTTTGCTTTTAAGTGGTTTATAAGTTAAAGATCCGGGCTTTGTAAAAGATAAACAATAAATGGGGTGTCTTTAAAATAAGAAATTGTGTAACAATAAATGCCGTATATTTCGGATCGTTCTCTTATTGGAAAAAATCTTTAATTTTTTAATATTTGAATTGCAATTTGAGAGATTTTTTGGAAATTTTTTTGTTAATTTATAAAATTGTTGAGAATTGTAATAAAATGTAACTATAAGTGGGAAATTGATGTAAAAATAAGTACTATTTTTTTACTTACAATTAGAAAAGAAGTTTTCTGATGAGGCTTGAGGAATAGAAAAATTTAATTTTTTTCTATTTTGGCTTTCATTTACACTAGACTTAAATTAAATAATTTAACTTTGACTCTACATACACTTATAATAATTTTAATAGTTTTATTTTAACTTTTACTCATAATGTATTACTTTTACATTTGTACTATTTCTTTATTAAAGGAAACTTTTTCATGTAATTTTAATTCTTTTTTGTTATTTACCCAGGCTTCTTTATCTTACGCATAATGTATGTATGCACTGACAAAAATATGCTATTGAATCAATAGCATTTCCGCGAAAAGTATAAAACTAACATATTCAAAAGGATATGCTGTAGTGGGGTAGCCAAATAATTTTCGAAAATCGACTTTTTTTGGACAACCGTATTGATTCAATAGCATATTTTTTTCCGTGTGTGAGTCTTATTTTGAAAGCAATACGTGGAATGAGTATTTGTACACACTGATAGGTATAGGGTAAAAGACGATGTCAACAATGAAACAATTTGCGTCCAATAATAAGAATTGATCTACATAGTAATGTTATGCCCCGGTTGTTTCTTTTTCTTTATCTTCTGATCTTACCCCCCATTTGTACCTTTCATTTCTCTTGAAGTAATACCCGAAGCTTGATCGCAGTTTAAAAGCTACGGTGAAGACTTCTGAGCCTCACTATTCTTCCGTTTCTTGAGATTTTTATAATTTTTTTAAGAAGATTATAAAGTTTCTAATGCAAGAAAGTAACAATGGCTAGAATTTACACACAAGAAGAAAAAAAGTGGTTCTTTGTTCAGCAAGTTGTTAATCAACTAAGTGCTCGAGAAACGCGTGATCATTTTGCTGCGGAATTCCCAAATCGTTTAATACCAGCAGTTTCAACAGTTCTGAAAGTAATTCATGACTTTCATGCCAAAGTTTCTATTGATGGTCATATTGATGTTCCTAGAGTAAGTATTAATATCAATTATTTTTTGGTTTTTTTATTTTATCTTATTATTTTATCTCAATAAGTAAAAAGTAGTTAATAGAAATAAAATAAAAAAATTGTTATTGCTTCAAATGTTTTGAACATTTTTTCGCTGTATAAAAAATATTTTGAAATAGTTATTACTGTTTTTCTTCTTTAAAATTCCCAACATATTTTATTTCAATTTATTTACACATTAACAAAATTCTTAAAATTTCACTTTAAAAACCAGTCTATTTAATTTTTCAATTAATTAATTAAAAAATATATAATCAATTAATTATCTAATTAAAATTAATTAAAACGTAATTAATTTTTATTGTTTTAAATTCTCGTTTTCACTTTCAATATGAAATCTACTTACATGTACAATTTATTTTTATCTTTATTTAAAATTATTTTGTTATATTATTACTGTAATCAATGATTAATTAATATTATTTCTTTAATTTTTACTTTTACTGAAATCGTGACAGGGACTGATGATCCTAATTTTTTTTTAGTTTTTTATTTTATTTCATAGTATTTATTAATAAATTACTTTTCTTAGAATGCTAGAGCCAGAAGAGTTATAAACGAAGAAATGCAGGTCCAAATTTGTGCCGAAATAGAAAATGAGCCGCATTCTACTAGCCGGCAAATCGCTAGAGACTTTCAAATTTCTCAATTCTCAGTTTTAAATGTCCTGCACCAGGAAAAATATAAACCTTATAAAATATACAAATCTTGGAAGAAAATGACAAGCAGCGCAGGTACGAAATGGCAATGTATTTACTTGAAGAAATGGAAGAGAGAGACCAACATTTTTTTGACAATATTTTGTTCAGTGACGAATGTACCTTTACACTAGACGGAAAAAGGAATGTTCAAATACATCGCACATGGGCTAGAAGGAATCCTTTCACTGTCGTTCAAACAAACACTCAAAGACCTCAAAAATTGAATGTTTGGTGCGGAATATTAAAGAATCGTACTATAGGTCCGTTTTTTATTGACGGAAATTTAACTGCGCAAAAATATCTTAATTTGTTAAGAAACAATATTATACCAGCGATTGAAGCTGTGGTTGGACCACATCGTGTTGCTGTAAGTATTTATGTTACTATAAATGTTTGTTTACTATGTAAATTTGATTTAATAACTATCTTTGGTACAAAATATTTTCTTATTAGTATATTTTTAAATTATTTTGAAAATTATTTTATTAAATATTATGGTTATAAACTTCATTTTCAGGATGTTGTTTTCGAACAGGATGGAGCTGGTCCTCACACAGCCCGCGATGTGCGAATTTTTCTGAACGAAACATTTCATCGGTGGATCGGAAGATTCAGCGAGTTCCAAGAATGGTGTCCCCGTTCGCCATGCCTAACTGGATGTGATTATTTTCTTTGGGGCTATGTCAAAACGAAATTGAATAAATTCGATCGAATAGAAAATTTAGCAGAACTCCGAGCTAAAATTGTGGAGATCATTGCCAACATCCCGCCTCATGTTTTGCAAAAGGTGGTAACCACAGAGTTCGAAGAACGTTTACGATGCTGCATAGCAAGCGAGGGTGATATTTTTGAGTACTGCTACAGATGAAAGGCTTACTCAAATTTATTTTAGAAAGATTAAAATTTTTTGATTTTTTAATTTTCTTTCAATTTTTTCAGTTTTGTTTTGTTATTAGGACTATTATTTTTTTTTGCATATTGTTGCTTTGCTTTTCTGTTATTTTTTACTGTTTGTTTATGAAATTCTTTTTAATTTTTCTTGTTTTTTGTTTGTTTTATTTATTTCTCCGTTATTGATTTTTAAAAATTCCTTATATTTTATTCTTTTCTTGTTGGTTTTTATTATTGTTATTCTTCATTAATTGTTTGTGTGTTTTGTTAGTGTGCAATAGTGCCATCGTTTTTTTGCCATCGTTGGCATAGTTTTAGTGAAATTTCCGTTTCTTTTTTAGTTCCCTTTTGTGGCCTGTACCTGAAAAAATTGTATAAGTATTACTATAAATGTTATAACATATTTTAGTTTAATAAGTATTTCGAAAAAATCTGAAATTGTGCTTAGATAAAAATATCTACTGAACACTTGATGTATAATTGAAAATTCTGTGATGTATCTAGGACGTAACAGAACAAATTTTTTGTATTTATAGGACATTAATTTAAATAAGAAAAGTAATTTTTTTGAATAAAATATAAACATAATTACTTAAAATTAAAGTTTTCTAATGTTGCAAAATAAAGGAAGAATCAAGATTTTTAAAAAGTGAACAAAATGAAATTTCATTATTTCATTAAGCTACTGAAACATTAAAATTATTCAAAATATGAAAGCAGAATACATGTGAAACGTTCCACGACAAAAGTCTAAGTTCTAGTAAATTTCAGAAACTCTGTACAATGTCATTAATAGGTCGAAAATAAAACTAAGGATATTTAAATTTAACGTATTAATTGTAAACTTGTTAACTGTAATCAAGAATTGTAAAACTTGTAACTTGTAAATTCTAAAAGAAACAATTAAAATATGCAATTCAAAAATGTTGGCCATAATTTTTGCCTAAAATAATATTTTTCTTTAAAAATCGACCTTCTTTTACATTGTGAAGTATCAATTTTGATTGAATAAATCCAACACGAAATAATATTTAAAGTACGTTCTTAAAAAAAATATGTTAAAATATTTAGAAAAAAAATTCTGCTTTGCTTTTTAAATTATAAATTAAAAATGTTTTTTAAAAATAACATTTATTACAGCTCAAGAAAGGTGAAATTTAATTAAAAATCATAAAAATAATTTCTATTCTTTTTTTTCAATTATTATTAAAAATTTTTGACTTTTTAATGATTAAAATTTAAAAACTAAATAAGTATAAAAGTTTTAATAAATTCTTTTCTTTAAATAAACAATTTAATGTTTGTAAAAAATGTAATTAAAAAGAATTTTTATCACTTTATTTAATTATGTAGAAGTGTAATACTCTTAAAAAATTGTTTCTTTAAAGTTTGTAAAATGCAAACCAAGATTTATTGATTTATAAAACCCTTAAATTATAAAATAAAGTTTTTGTAGACTTAAAAAAATCTTAATTATATAATTAATTAAAAAATCTTAATTTCAGAATTAATACAGTTTTACATTAAAATTCTGTGGACTTCAAAAAAGTCTTTTTTGAATGCACTTTTCTTCGCAAAGCATTTTAAAAATCAAGGTTTTGTTAAAAAAAGGAAAAAAATATTTTTTTCCACCATAAAATATAATAAATTTTTAAAAAACTATATTTTTCATTTCAGTGAATAAATGCAAATTAATATCTGTTAATTTAGAAAAATGAAAAACTTTAATAAATTGTAATTATGAGTGTTTTAAAATGCTAAAATTTACAAATTTTAATTTAACACCCTAAAAAATGATTTTTTTAATAAATCGTTTCTTTGTTAAATAACAGTATTAACTTGTAATTTTTTAATATAACGAATTTAAAAGTGCAAAACAATTTTACGCATTGCTCTTAAAAACACGCATTAATATTTTTAAAATGCACTACGATTTTTACAGTCTAGAGCAGGCGAAATTAAAATTAGGTTCATGAAACTAATTTTCATTTTAATTTTTTCTCCTGGTATGTGAAAGTTGTAACTGTGAATTTTTGTTAAAAATTTTTTGAATTTTTTAAAAAAGATTATTTTATACATATTGCAGTTAATAAATAAAAGTTAATATCTGTTACTTTGAAAAAATTTAAAATTTTAATAAATTGTAATTATGAGTGTTTTAAAATGCTAAAATTTCATTACTACAGATAAGCTCTGATGTAAAAGTGCAAAAATAAAGAAAATCTACTTTAGTACCATTTTTTTATTTTTCAATTTTTTTTTTACTTTTTCTTCGTTTTTTGACCTACATCAATACCATACTATCGCGAATTTTCATTATCTTAAATAAAAAGATTATTATTTATAAGTCACACGATAAAATAATGAGATTTGAAATATTTAATTTTAATATCAACGCTTTTATTGTCGTTAAAAGAATGAGTCAAATTTTTATTTTTTAATTAATAGATGTAAGTTTTAATCAATTTATTGCAGTATTAAATAAATATTTCAAAAAAAGTTATTCAAAGTACAAAATAAAATTTTTCAAATTGAAAATAAATATTTCTGCTCCGCTTTTTGAATAAAAAATTAAAATTTTTAAATGTATTACAATATTTTCTGTTTAGAGAAAGCGAAATTAAAATTGCAAATGTGAAAGTTATTTCTATTTCAAAAACTGTAATTTAAAATAAAACCACTAAATACACTACCATTTATTCCTATAAATATGTTATTGAGAAAAAAAATAAATTTCTTTTAAAATTGTAAAATATTGTAAACTAATATTTCCTTATTTAAAATTTTTTAAATTAGTTATGCCATAATACTAAACTTTGCAAATAATAACTAAGTTAGATAAATGTAACTTTTCAATTCACACAATTTTAACTTACTGCCTTTCTCGACTCTTAAAATCTTAAAGCCAAAAAGAAAAAAAAAGAAATTTAATTCTTAAATAAAGAAGCAATTTAAAAATTGTATTGCAAATTGTCATACTTATGTTAAATGTTTTTGAGAATATTTTTTACTTGAATTAAAAAATTTTTAAATAATATTTGTGAATTTAAAAATATGTTTGAATCGTGATGATTTGTAATTTTCAATTAAAAATCAAAATGTAGTTACTCAAATCGAATTGCTTAATAAGAAGCATTTCAATTTACAGCTATTTTGGAATGCTCAAATCGTAAAGCATTTTAAAATAAAAATTTCTAATTTAAAAAATAAAGCAGAAATATCTTCTTCTTATTATAATTTCCACATTAATAAATCTAAAAAAAAGGATATTTTATATTACATTAAAGAAATACAAACTGTTGTCTGTTTATTTGAAAAAGCTTGAGCTAATTTAAAAATTCGAATTTATTTGCTAATTAAGGAAACTACGGAATCATGATAAATAGTAAATTTAAATCGAAAATCAAACTGAAGTTAAATGCAAATTCTGAATAAATAAAATTTCATTTAGCGTCTTTGTGGAATGCTAAAATCGTTAAGTATTTTAAAATTCAAGTTTTTGAAAAAACAAACGGAAAAATATTTTTATTTTGCTCAACATTTAAAATTTTTAATTTAATCCATTTAAAAAAGAAAAATATTTCGTGTTACAGTCAATAACTAGACATTAATTTCTTTTATTTTGAGAAAATTAAAAATTTTGATATAATTGTAATTTGATTTAAATTGGCAAAAATTGGACTAAACTACCTTACTTTCAATTTTTGACCTACAACAATAACATAGTATCGCGAATCTCTATTTTGATAATAAAAAGATAAATGTTTTTTTATTTTTTACTCATGGCGAATTAAAATTGTCTTAATATTTTAAAAGTCAAGTTCGGTCGTATAAGAAATTAATAAGATTTGAAAGATTGCAATGAAATGTCTGCGTTTTTCTTTTTATACAAAAATTGCATCTAATTTTTATTTTTGAATTAATAGATTCTAATTGAAAACACTTCTTATAGAATGTAATAAATTTATTATAAAAATAATTGAAAAAAAAAAATTTTAATTACAGATTGCGATTTTAAATGTTTAAAATAAATATTTCTGCTCCGCTTTTTAAATCGGAAACTAAATTTTTTAAATGTGTTAAAATAATTTCTGTCTAGAAAAGGCGAATTTGAAATTGCATTTATAAATAACTATTTTGCTGCTTTAGAAAATGGAAATAAATATTTAATAATAAAAGAAAACTGGAATGGTTGCAAAAATAATTACCCTTTGTTGGATTTTCGACCTGCAGGATTAATTTACTTTCGCTAATCTTTATTTTGTTTTAAGATATTAATTTGTAATTTTTAAGAATGGAGAATTTGAAAATTCCTTGAATGTTTAAAAGCCACGTTGAGTAGTACGATAAAAAAATGAGATTTATAATATTTAATTTAAATGTCCACATTTTTATTGTTGTTAAAAGAATAAGTCTAAACTTTTTTTGTTAATTAACTGACATTAATTTGAATGGCTTAATTTTAGCAACAAATAAGTTTTTAAAAACATTTGGAAAAAAGCTTTAAACTATAAATTAAAATTTGTCAAATTTAAAATAGATATTTAGCAATTTCAATTTTGAATTTATTTTAGATTTTAGCAAATTGAAAAAGGTGTAATTTAATTTAAATTTATAATATCAACCTTTTCCTATTTGGCTATGATGTTTTTTGCTTTCTTTGTTCCTCTTCTTTTTCTTTTTCCGACTGTAGTGGCCTTTTGCTGGCTACTGAACCGTTGGAAAATACTGTTTATCAATTGTTGATTGATTCTTCATGTTTTTTATTTTTAATTGTCAGTGTTAATTTTTAAGGGCCATCGTTTGTTTAAATTCTGTAAAAGTCGCGTTTCCTCCTTGTTTTCTTTTGGTGATCTGTAACTAAAACATTTTATTATTAATATTATTGTAAAAAACTTTTTATATTTTAGTTTAAAAATTTTTTAAATTAATGATTTTCAACTAGGTGAGTCCTTTCGACACTATTGATTTTTGAAATAGCTGCCTCTTCGTCATTGTCGCTGGATTTATTTGTCTCAGAGTTATGTTACTGAATTTCTATTTTGGTATCTTATTTAGACTTTTTCTAATTTCCTATTTCTCCTGTCTGTAATAGAAATTATTCTCTTTTAATTAATTTTGTTGGTGATTTTTTACGTGTGTAGTGTTTAATTTTTTCTATGATTGTAAACATTTGGAATTTTTTAAATAA